CGATCAGGTGTTTTGCACATATCGTGAATTTAGCTGTTCAAGCTCTGATCAAACAGCTCCAACTTGAGGGAAATGGACTAATTACTAGGATTCGTGAACTTGTTCGCGCGGTAAGTGCATCGTATCTCGAATCTCGATTGTGCCTAATGTGATGGTTTTCGTAGATCCGATCGTCTGGTCTCCGTCGCAAACACTTTCTGGAGTGTGCTAGGCAAATCATCAAGAAGGAGTTACAGCTCATCCTCGACTCGGAAATTCGCTGGTCATCAACGTACCTTATGGTTCACCGTACTCTGATTCTTCAGCAGGTACATTTTTATGATGGTTTTCAGGCTATTCGCTTATGTTCTTGATAGGCTATGGAGCGCTTCTTCACTTCTGAAGAATTTGAGAGCCTCATCCTGACTCATTGGATATCCCCGGCGGATTGGACTCTACTCAAGGATATGGAAAGTATTCTCGAAGTACGTATTTTCTTGTTTTCTTCGGTGATTATCAGTGTTCATCTTCAATGCCAGACACCTCATCTCTTTCAGCAATGCTTGTCAGCGGAGAAAACACCGACCCTTTGTGATGCGATTCCTGCGTTCGAAGCAATGATCAAGAAATTCGATCGTCAAACCACCACTTTTCCGGCACTCGAAACGGCCATTCATGCGGCTACGGATAAACTCGAAGAATACCTTGGTTACATTCGAGATGTTCCAGCATACAAGCTTGCCATGGGTATGTTTGGTTTCCGCATCGGTTGAAGACAATCTAACACTTCCCATAGCAGTTAATCCGGGACTGAAGCTGTCATACATCCTCGCTCACCATCCAGAGCAATACGCTGCTGCTAAACAGCTACTCATTGATGCGGTTAGACCTGTTGTTCTGTTTGAATATTCGTTACTCATTTCTTCTAGATTCGGCCGTATGTAGGCACTGATGCGACCACGAATGTACCTGCCGAAGAGATTTCCTGGGAGGATCGTATACTGTACGGTAATTCCCGGACCAGTGCGCGTACCGCATATAGCGCGGAGGAAGAAGTAGAGATCTATCTTGCAGAACGCCTCTCTTCTGTTCCCAGCCTGGCATATTGGCAGGTACTGTACTCTTCCGTCTCGAATCATCAGTCAAGCTTATTCTTCGTGCGTAGGAAAATTGCAACCGTTATCCTGCAATTTATCGCCTCGCAATGGATATCCTCCCAATCCAAGGAACATCTGTACCTTGCGAACGAATTTTCTCATCGGCGAAAGAGACCATCACCGCTCGTAGGAGCCGTCTTAGCGCAGAAATGATGGAGGCATTGCAGATCTTGAAATTTGCGATCAAGATGCGTGGTGGCCTTGATTTTACACAATATAAGTCACTCGAAGAGCAGCTGGCAGACTTGGAAGCACTTACTGACTCGGAATTTGCAGTACCAACTGACGTCGGCGCGTTTGCAAGTAGTCTACGTACCACTGAATCCTTTGCAGTCTCATAGATACGCGAATTACCTTTTTTGATATTCAAGCCGTGACCGGACCGCTCCGAAGCCAAGCCGATATCTATTTTGGGTGAGCCGAACCATCAAGAAGCCGAAGCCAAACAAAGTCAAGCTGAACGGTGTCAAGCCGAGTCTCAGCAACACTACCGGGGCCGTCCAAATTAGGCAAGTCAACAAACTTGGACCACTACGACCACTTGCTCCTCGAATCACTACCTCTCCTTCACACGACCTACACAGTGGGAAAACATAAAAAGCCCACAGAAATATTTGCAAACATTACCTCTCACCGTTGACTCACACTACACTGTACAATCCAACAATGGACGGTCCCTCAGCGACCGATTCGATTCTGCAAAACTCGGCTGCGTTGCATTCCTTAAAGAAGGAGCAGCTCGTCAGATTGTGCAAAGCGCACGGGGTGAAGGCCAATGGGAAGAAGAGCGAGATGGCGGAGAGGCTTGCGCAGTTGCATGCTGCCGACGAGGGTGGTAGCGGAGACGGCGCCAAGGAGAACATGAACCCGACAGTTGGAGAGGTTGAGAGAGAGATTATCCACCTAGGCAGCATCAAAGAGGAAAGCGCCAGTGATTTTGGATCGTTCAAATGCAAGTCATTCGTTGTTAGGTTTTCCTTTGTTGACTTAACTTTCGTTAGCCTCCATGTCTCTCAAGTCTCTCGTCTCTTCCTTTGGCTTTTCGCGATCCACCTCCACTTCTTTATCTTCCTTCGCCCAAACGCAATCTCAAGCGCAAGCTACAGTTAGTAGCGTCGACTCAGCCTCATCACAGGTGTTACCGCACCAAATCCCTCTCCCCGCTTCGCCTCTTATCGAGCCTTTCACGCCACCCCCGAATGTTGAAGTTGGCAACACAATCCGACTTGTGAATATCCCTCGGTTTAGCTCGTCCTCTTTCGAGACGTCTGAGCCTCCTTCTATCTCCACTCCTCCTCCAAACAACCGTATGGACTGGAGAGTTGGCGATACACCTATGCTTGCTCCATTCCGGACTTCCTTCGATCTAGTTGTTGACGGCGGCGTCGATACACCTGCACGCGACGTTGCGCGTATGTTGAGAAACGATCCCGGAACACCTACGAGATCAGAGGGGCGCTTCGAATTTGGTACCCCCAGGGCAAGCGGATGGTCGTTTAGGCCTTCGTTAAGTTTGCCACCGCCAGTTCCGCCTCTCCCAGAAAGGTTTAGAGAGTCGGACCAGGAGATGAAAACTGCTACAGAGGACGATCTCGAACAAGATCCCGAGAAACGAGCCACCGGGGAAGAGAAACGCAAAGTTGTACCTCGCCCGTCCGTCACTCTGAGTGTGATGGAGGAATTGATGCGGCGCGCGGAGCTTCCTGTTGACCCCAGTCGGCCTGTCAAGCCAATTCCGAGGCGTTCTCTGGCTGCCAACGCCAGCCCATCCCCAGCGAAACAAACATCGGATCGGTTTGACAAGGCTCACGAACAGCTGGAGGCTCGTATGCCCGCCATCAACGAACCCAAAGGCCCCACGTTACTGAAGAAACGCAAGATGGAGGAAGACACAACTGCCGGGGACGTGACACGGAAGAGTGCGAGGGTCGGAGGGCGGGCCAGTGGCACAAGACCTCGTGCGAGCGGAGTTCGCCCGAGACCAAGCGGCGTTCGACCACGAACAAGTGGTGTCAACGGTGTGCGTCGTCAGAGTGGCGTCCGACCGCGGTTGAGCGGTGTACGACCACAGCCGACTGCAGCGAAGAAGGGCTTATTTGGGTATGTCAAGGGATGGTTTGGCGTGAAGCCCAAATCGGAGCCAGCGTTGAAGAAAGTCGAAGTGAAGGGGAAGGTGGAGAAGAAACCCGACGCGCCGCCGCCTGCTGCTGCGCGGAAAGCTTCGGTGGGTAAAGCTCCCATAGCCGCTAGGAAGGTTCCACCGACTACTGGAAGTATGGGTCCTCCGAAGTTTGTCCCCAAGAGGAACAGTACGACGGCCAATGGAAGTGCAGCTTCCCGTGGCAGCATTACGAATGCTAGCACAAGAAGCAGTATCGGCTCGACTACCAAGGGAAGTGTTTCGTCGATCAGAGGCAGTCTTCCTGCAGCGACCAGAGGGAGCGTTTCGTCCACTACCAGAGGGAGCATTTCGTCCACTACCAGAGGGAGCATCAACGCTACTACTAGGGGAAGTATCACCTCAACTACCAGAGGCAGCATCAACTCCACTACTCGGGGAAGTGTAACGTCTGCGGCGAGAGGAGGCAGTATTCGTGGGAGTATTACTTCTACGACACGGGGAAGCGTCACTTCTACAACGCGAGGAAGTGTTACGCGCGGGAGTCTTGCGCCGCCCTCGTCGTCAACGCCACAGTCAAGTCTGCGGCGCGCCACCGCCAAGCCGAGTATGGTGCCCAGGAGAGTGACGCCCACGAATTCGACGTCGAGGCTTCTGCAGCCGACCAAGTCCAGTTTGGCCAGGGCTTCGGGTCCTACTGCTGCGCCAAAGGCAGACGAGAAGAGCGCCGAGGATGCAAACATCAGTAATACGCCACTGCCGACGGCCCCTAGGATCTTCAGGGAGCCATTGTCGGAGACGACGTTTGCGAGTATGAGTCCCAGCAAGATACCCACTGCTAGTGGTAGCAAGGGTACGTTATGTTATTCTCATTTAAACGAGGCGTATTGAGATGTGTTTATTCCAAGGTGTCTCCGCTGGTAACAGCAGCATCGCTTCACGAAGCATGAGCACGCGCCGGCCGCGTATTTCGCGTACTACGGTTGTGGCGAGGTTGGCTGCGCGGCGCCAGGTCCCTTCGACGCCGCAGGCTTCCTCGTCTGGGTCAGGTTCTTCGGCCACTTCTATACCTCACCCGCCCGCGTCTGTTCAGCCCGCGCCGACGTACAGGAAGAGCGCTGTCGGCGCAAGTGGGCGACGTAGCTTGGCCGTGGACAGGGAGAGGAAAGTGAGATCGAGCGTGGGCGGGGGTGGTGTGGGGAAGAATGCTATTTTGGGGAGGCGAAGTGTCGGGGGCCCCGCTGTGAAGAGACGCTAGCTATGATGGGTTCTGTGGAAAGGGGTAGGTGTGGGAATGCGTATGTGTATATTTCTTGGGATCTTTTTTTCCTCTTTTTATCCAGTCGATTTATGTGTCGTGTTATGTTATGTTATGTTATGTTACTGCACTTGTATATAGCGTTGACGTACCGGGAAGTACGTACTATGCTCGTCGTTCTGATTTCCCGAGATTAAGGACTGACTGGGGTAAATGAGCAACGACAACCATTAGATCAGGTGCTATACGATCTGTAATGTAATGTGACAAGCATGGGGGAGGGACAGTCACATATCACCCATTGCCACGGCCCCGCGAGACGAAAAAAGTGCAAAGCCATGAGAAAATGCGCCACATTACATCACGTGTTGTTATTAGGTCGATCCCACTGAGGGCAGCGCAGCTTGCAGTTTGGTGCCAGTAAAAAATGGAAGTACAAGTGTCAAGCAGCAAGCATAATGGCAAAAGGATTCTCAGACCATGGTAACGACACCTCAGAGATTCGAACTCTGGCGCACAAAGTGCATTGGCTGTATACGAATCCTCCTCGATTCTATAGCAGGCCAACCCGTTAACCACTCCGGCAAAGTGCCTTGGAGGATCACTTTCACGCGTTCATCTACTTCTGACCAGAACATTGATTATCTGCCTCTACTTATAACATCCACGGTTTTTTCGAGAACGTAGCTGCTACTGCACGTTGGCTGACAGCCTGACAGCCTGACAGCCTACCCGGGTCTACAGGAGCATTCCACTACTCCTGTAGGGTTACTCACTGTACATACCTGTAGGATCACTCAATGCAGCCACTGACAAAAAATCGGGAATGCCTATAAGAACACCTATAGGTATGCTCCAAGTCTCCTACAGGTATCCTGGAAGCCTCCTATAGGAGCACTCCAATGCTCCTATAGGGCCTTTCGCTGACTGCTCCCGTAGGTAGGTTCCAGTGTACCTGTAGGAGTATTCGCTGACTGCTCCCGTGGGTAGCTTCCAGTATACCTGTAGGAGTGTTGGCTGAATGCTCCTATAGGACCTTTTGCTGACTGCTTCTGCAGGTAGGATTCTACAGGAAGCTCTGTAGGCGTAGAAGGCTTCTCTGTACATAGGTCTTGCATAGGTCACTCTATAAGTCCAGAGGACCAGAGAGAGTGAACAGTGTCTGCGTGTTTGAGCTGGAGGCAATGTTGTAAAAATTGTGTGATATTGTCTGGAAGGTGAGGTTGACTGAGGATACCGGAGATGGAGAGATGATTCCAGATTCGTTTCAATAAGCAAAGAAAAAGAGAAGCACTCTGAAGGACGATGTCCTGTCCTTGAAGAGTGGAAGATAACTGTGTAATGGATACAGGCATGGTGGTGTTCAGAGGATGAAAATTGGTTGTATTACAAGGTTTAAGTAGTCTTCATATAGGAGCTAAGGTGAATGATCCTACAGGAGCAGACACGAACAATCCTACAGGAGCAGACGCGAACAATCCTACAGAAGTGGTGGAATGACCTGTAGGAGCAAAGCCAAGCGATCCTACTGATTCCTACAGGAGCAGATGCGAAAGACCCTATAGGAACAAAGGCGAAAGATCCTACGGAGCAGAGGCGAAGAATCCTACAGGAGTAGTGGAATGAACCTACAGGAGGGTTGGAAGAAGCCCGTGGGAGCTTTCAAGAATACCTACAGGATCAGAATGTGTGAACATACCTACAGGGACGTCTGAACATCCCTATAGGAGCACTCAGAAGATCCTACAGTAGAATTAGGTGAGCGTACCTATAGGATCAGTGGAATGTACCTATAGGATCAGTCGAATGAACCTACAGGAGCACTCGAGTGACCCTACAGGAGCGTTGGCGACCTACAGCCTGGCAGCTTTGCCGGCAGCCGGCGGGTGCAGGAGCAGCTCCTTTCTGGTTTTTTCAAAAGCAGTTGCGCCATGCTCACCTCTAGAACGCTCTTCGCCTAAGGACTTCCGAAGGGGTGCTTAATGGTTTTGGGTGATCGGCCAGTGATCGACCGCCTTGTCTTTTCACGTCCATCATGGTCTTATCATGGTCTTATGCATGCTCAAATCCACCCACATCCCGCATGTGGAACAGACTCGAACCAGTCCTTATATCGCATCAATTGGCGGAGCTCTCTGGGAGCGGATTATTAAGAGGGAACGCGCTTGTCAGGTCTCGTCATCAAACCGACAGATCCTGCTCATTCGTACGCTCTCGATGTTAGACTGTATGCTCGGATCCATTTCGAAGGAAACACAATTGGACAATCGCGTCCAAATCCACGATTGGGGGTGTCAACTTCTGGAAGGTAGACTCTATTATGTTTGCACTTCGCCTTGCCTTGAAACTGAGTGCGCCTTAGACCCATGAAGATTCCCTCGTTTGTAATCACCGTGCTGCGTCACTCGCACACAGTTCAACTGAACTTGGGTCGGCTTATCTGGACTTTACCAAGATGATGAAGGTTCGTTCGGCTTTGTACTGTCATGGCTTCGTCGATTTTGACGCCAAATAGCAATAACACTTGACGTTATCTTCCATGTGAAAGCTCCCGCAGTCGAGCTTCATTTCACGATCCACTTCGGGGTTTAATGTCAACGGAAATCGGAGATCCTTGTTGGTAGGTTTCACTTTCATATCCTGAATTTTCTGACTGATTAATCGATCCGGCCTCAAGTGATACTGAAGTGATGTCCGTCGTAAGTCAGCTGGCTAATATCATTCCACTCGACGAAATTCCACCTCGTTGATTGATCTCGACACCATCCTTTCAATACAGAGCTTGACCTCTCGTCGAGGGTGAAGGCGTCTACCGCCTTCGTTTTCTCGGAGACGTCTGTCTTTGAAGATACCAGGGAACCTGTCGATCATGAGGCGTTCATCTGCGTATATACAACGTCGCTGCGCTGCCTCGGACGATTTCCTCCCCAGGGCTTCGTAATATCAAGGACGAGCACTTTTCCAAGCCGATGCGCTTGCTAGTCCTTTACCGTGTCCTCCTTGACCGGTATAAAGAGAACGCGGACACTACAGCTTTGGAGCGTGCCGTTTCACTGGCGGAAGAGGCGCTGCGCGTGGACGTTGGTGAACCTGCTAAGCGCGCAGGCATGTTTTACGGCCTATCTGTCACTCTTCACCACAACTACCAACGATTCAAAATTTTCCAACCTCGGTGACCTTGACCGCAGCATCGCGCTTGCCGGCGACGCACTTGATGAAGGAAGATACCGATCGTTGCATCGACACCGAAGATATCGTTGTTGGTGTCACCCCGGACACTGATTCTCTCAAAGCTGACATGTTCAATATCTTGCGTGCAACGTATTCCCGCCGTTTCGAAAGCGACTTGAACAAAGCCATCGCGGTATTCTCACAAAATACAACACTCGCTCTCGGCTTGTCCGAGAACCGTGGGACGGCCACTTTCCACCTCGAAGCATCTCTCGTCATCCGTTTTCAGAATGCCCACGACGTTTCAGATCTACGCCATCCTCTTGACCTCGCTACAGCGTCGACACAAACACCGTGGAACCAAGTGGTCGGTTCCCTGTTCCCGGAACACAAGGAGAGATTGGGTCTATCGATAGACATTTCAATGGGATCGGAAAGCAGGACCGCTTTGCCTCACTTACGGGGACTCTGGTTGAAATGCAGCAAGCTAATTGGGTGCATTGATATTCAGAACCTAGCCAGTCCGACGGACAGTGCTCTGCTTCTTACCTATCCGATGTCGTCGAAACATCGTTGCCGTCTGCAGAGCTGGTTTTTCTCTGTCAGATCTGGCGACAAGAGTTTATCGGTGGGAGTCCGTTCCTCGCGGCCGGGATGTTATTTGCCGGTTACAGCGTAATCGCGACGATGTGGTCTAGTATGGATCGAGATGCGCCAGCGGTGTCCAACGATGTTTATAGGTACTTGCTTCGCGATCCACTCGACGGCCGAATTACCGAGAGGCAGCTTATGCGTTGCACCGCGCTGTAGCGCAGTTGAAGGAAAAGCAGGGCATCAGATCGTATTTATCTTGGGTCCCGTTCGTTCATCCTGGAATGTGATACGATACTATGACTAAAATAAAGTATCGAAGTATGAATATACTGCGGCTGCAGCGCAAGTTCTCTAACATTCACCTTCGCTTTGCATTCTGCAAAACATCGCGAGACGTCTTCTAGTGAGTGTGGTGTTTCGTCCGAACTTCTTCTAGAGAACGTAATGCAGACTGTTTCGAGCGCTGCGAAGTGCGGCTGGTGCAGGGCAGACGCAAGTCCCCGCCATCCAACAATAGAGTCCCCGCGCCTAAGCTTGCTAGGATAACTGGGACTTTGCATCAATGCGCTCGACAGAGCTGGCAGCAATTTGGTGCTGTCATCCATCTCAAGACATAAAGAAGGTGCATGCAAAAATGCACGAACATCGAAGTCTGAGATATGATAACCGTGAGTGATAGGGTAAAAAGGCAGGTAGTAAACAACGTACCAATGTCCTCATTCAAAAGGTAGAAGAAGACTTTCTCCAAAGCCCTTAACCGAGGAATGAATTCGCCCAATGGAGCCCACACTTCAGACATTGACCAAAACCCAAAAACAAGACGTCGAGTAGAGGCGAACAAGGAAAGACATGCGTCGTGTCCTATCATCTCGCACAAAAAAGAGTCCGCCACCCAGACCACGAGCTCTTCAATCTTTGAAGGTACGGCCGGTCGTACGATATTATGATCTTCCGTGTACCACCACGAGAGTGACACATCCTCCATGTCAAGAGAGATTACGTGCGGGCAATACATCAGCAGATCCACAAGATGGATGGGGGGAAGCTCCATTTTCTCGAGGCTTAGCTTGTGGAACGGGCAGGAGGGGATGATTTGGCCAATCGCCTGGACCACCTGGTAATCAAGAAACAGGCGAAAGCCTTCTAAACTTTCCCGGGAATCATAACAGTCCAATGCGACCGAATCCAAAAGCGTCAGATACGGAGCGAGTTCTCGAAGCATGTGCCATGCTGTGGTCGACATGATGAGGGAGACATCACGAAGCTCGAAGTACAGGCCATAGCCGACGTTTTTGACCAAGTCGGCGAGGCGTGGGGTGTGACGGACAAGTTCCACGAAACGGAGAGATGCCACGTTCAGAGTCTTGTCGATGTCGCTGGGTGGCGTTATTTCGCTGAGGTCGATAGACACCGTACAATATAGGTGTTTGCGGCAGCGAGCACCAAAACATCGCGCTGCCCGGAGAAGGGCGAGAAGGTCAGCCCGCGGAAACTGACTTCTGCATGAACGAAGTCGACGATATGGTCAATGAGCTCTTGGGGAAGAGTTGGAGACATAAGATGACAGGAGTTCTGTTTCGGGATTAATCCAAGTATGTACTGGGCATTTTACTTCACATACGTCGATTATATTTCCGCGATGGACGCCAGAACGGCGTGACAGTACGCACTTTGCAGATGATGATTGTCAAGTTGAAGAAGAGAAAAGTTGCAGTGGCTTCTGCCGGCCCGATAATCCAGAGTCAGGGTTCACTGCCTCCCTTCCTTTGTTTCCGAAATGACAACCACGACGCGACCGGTGCCACTTTGACAGGTTCACGTAGCATGC